ACGCCACACAACTACAATAGCAAAAAGTGTCGTTACAACTTTTGGTCTTATTCTCTTCTGTCTAGCCCCCCTTTCGCAACGCGCGATAAGGAACTTCGTTCCAACAAGGCAAGAGTTACTAGGCTTTTGTTGTATTTTTGTCATTTTAAAAATAATTTTGCAAAGTCAATGCGTCTGCAAATTTCTTCAAGTAGGTTTGTAGTTATTAGTCAAGCACTCGCTTATAATAGTAAAAAAAACAACAAATGTGTCGCTATAGTTTTATATTGTTAACCGAAAAAGTTTAAAAGCTGTTGAAAAATTGTATCATATATTTTACAACCTTACATGCGCTATGTCGAAGTTTATCCTCAATTCGGGTTTTCCCCTAAGTTGAGAAATTCCAATAGCACTCACTTGGGACACGGCGAACGAATGAGTCATGATCAAAATTGTTAATAACGACCTAGTTACATAAAGTAATGGTCGATTATTTCAAAAATGAGCAATCTTATTGCGTATCTGTGTGTGTCCAAATCCTGAATATTTTGTTTGTACCTATGAGGGCTTCTACACTGCTGGCCGTATAGGGAAGCTCAAGGTTGCTCAGAGAGCTAAGGAAAGGGCTATGCTCAGAGTTTAGTCATAGCCAGCGGCCGGTCATAGGGCTCGATGTACCGACAACATATGGGGAAAAAAGGTTCTCGTACCGGTAAGCGAAGTGTAAGGCGACTCTCCACTACATGGAGCGACGACCTTGTAAGATATGCAGGAAATCGATGGATGTAGGTGGCTCAGGACCGTGCTTCGTGGCGTTCCTTGGAGGCCTATATTCAGCAGTGGACTTGGAAGGGCTGTAATGATGATTATGATGACCCATATGATTAAGCCTATATCTACGAGTGCCCTGAGAATCCCATGTCGTCCCGCGCATTGTTTTTTTGGCAGTCTCATCGACTGTCCTTCCATATTAGAGCAAGTTAACATCTGGGTAAAACGCAAATTACCTTTTACACCTTTGGATAGGTATTATAGGTAGTTTGCGTTTAGCTCTTTCTTTATTGTGCTCGTAAAACTTTTCAACAATATCTCATTAAGTAACAGCAATTTGGAATTATTACGGAAACCTTCAAATAACAGCAAGCTGTTTGTCTCAAGGGATTTTCGGTTATCACTATGCGTGGCACAACTTTTTAAGTCTTTTACCCCCTTTTCTGTATTTTTTAATTGATGGATTTGGTTTTAAGGAAAAGCTTGTGTTGTCTAAATATGTGCATTTTAATTTCCATATGCGGAATTTTAATAGCTATGTATAAAGGCGTAGGCGTATCCCGCCTGTGGGGAAATCTATCTATACTGTAATTAATGAATAAATGAGCTAAAACGATTCTTCCTATACAAGTCATAAAATTCTAGAAATTATCATCAAATTAATCAAGCATCAAATTAACCAAGTATATTCTTCCTCGCTTACATATCAGTGACCTAAATATGATTCTGTTATTGAACATTACCCAAGGCTCTCCGCCGACGCACTTAATAAGATCTTAATTGACTTTGTCTCATCTGCCGTGCTCTCAAGATATTACAAAAATGTAAAGTTACGACGTATATACATAATCCCATTGCTAGGCAGTCATGTCAAGAGTTCGCAGTGCATCTCAATGTGTTTTTATGGGCTCCACATCATGTCCTCAAAATATTTTCTTTTGGAAATATATGTATGTTTTTATAGATTTAGGCTCCATAGCACAGTGGTTTAGCAGTGAGTTGCAGTTCTATGGGGCTAATGATACCGCGGGTTCGAATCTCGCTCGTAACAATTTTTTATTTGTATGGCCTACAAATACGTAATGGATCCGGATCTGGATGTTTGACCTTGTTTGAAATTTACGTAGGTAGGATACAGGAGAAAATCCTAGTGTGGAAGTAACGTAAAAAATGAATTCGCCACGATGTTTTTCTTCACTGTCAAACGCAAGGTATATCAATAATTTAATTTAAAAATAATAATTTTTTGTTCTGTCCGGTTTCGAACTCGGGTCGCTCGTGTACTTTGACATTAAAAATAATGCGCGTATCGTCTAAGCGCAGAGACTCCGAAACAAACCGTCCTTAGTGTTTCAAACGAATGTACGGCCGCTTGGGCTCGGTGCTGTATGCAGCACGATTATTTCTATTTTTATTAATTTTTTATTCTACTACGGTTACTTTGACAATCTACTTACTATCAAGTTGACTGTGTGTTAGTTTATCACCCTTAATTTACTGTCATCTTTATCTGAGAAAATTACTTCATCACTATCGCTTTTACAATCATACTGTAGCGCCCCATAATTAATAGCTTGTACTGGCACTAGTGCTACCTAGTATCGAGTAGCAGAACTAGTCCTAGAGAATTCCATACTAGAACTTTCTACAACTAGTCAGTCGGGACCGGTATGTACTCGAACATTCTAGATGTTTCAGTAGAAGAGGGCCTATATAAGGCCAGTTAATACCGCGACCGAGGCAGTATTGAATTGGCGAATCAAGCTAATACTTCGAAGAGATATAACTCCGAACTTAAGTAATCAGTGTGATTAATTATTAGTGTCTTTTAAGTTGTAATTGGTGTTCGGTAATTAAAGTGTTAATTTTGGTAATTCAATCGGCAGTTTTTATTGTCACGAACCTCAAGCTCCGTTACCGTATCGACCTTTCAATAAATTCCATGCATGCTCGTAATAAGACTCTGTTACCTGTATGTATTTCAAGACAAGTGTAAAACTCCTTTGCAACCTATGTATTTCAAGACAAGTGTAAAACTCCTTTGCACCGCATATGATACTTGATGTCTTTTATTTCTCGGAGTGAGACTAATTATATCACCGTAAGCCTTTCTTTAATCCATCTAATATTTTTCAACACATTTGAGCCGCGCTTTGGTATAAATAAGGGTTAATCTTTTTTTTAGGACATTTTTAGGTTCACGTGAGTCTCCTTCTACATTTGTGCAATGTCTTTCAAAACACTTAATACTTTTAAAACTTCCGTAGCCATTGTACACCAAAAAAATTGTAAAGCAATGAAATATAAATTTTGAAAAACAAGTGTGATTTTTAATAACTCGGCCGCCTTATCCTATATAACGGAATACAGTATTTTGTTCTCGCGGAAACAATGTTGACCGATCTTCAATCGCTTCTATCCAGCTCGAAGGACCATATACATATGTATTATTTGTGGTACACTTTTCGATTTACTCGATTTAAACCGATTTGACATTAAGAGACGTGTGTTCTTTAGTAATGATTTATTCAGACTGACTTCAGAAATAAACGATTAGCTTTTAAATCCTAGTATTATGTTGTTGTCGGCATTTATTACTTGTAGGTTTATTATGCAATGCTGTATGTTTATGTTACGTGTTCTGCAAAATTGTTTTTAAAATTTTTGTCTGTTTGTTTGTAAATGTGCGTACGTATGTTCAAGTAAATAAATCTAACACAGCCTATCAATTTAATGAAGGCCTGGACCATAAATAGCCTAACAGAAAACCGCAGTTTTGTTTTTATTAATTTGATATTTTTATAAAGAATATGTTGCTGCTTATCTTCTGTTTCATTTCCTTCTGTTACCTCTAACGACACCTACATAATATTGGATTGCACGAGTTACTCGAACATTTGTATTGTTAAGTAAAAAGTAATGTAATGTGCCGTAATTTATAAACGCGGCAAAATTGTAAATGCTTTAATTTTATAAAATTAGTGTTAACACTCTATGGAATCGGTTGTTATCATTTTGCATTCCATCCATCCATTACAGCCTATAAAAGTTCACTGCTAGGCAGGAGGCATATGTTAGCCATAGATTTTTTTTATAGGATAGGGTGAAAAATGAGCACACAGTCCACCTGATGGTAAGTGGTTGCGCTGGCCCGTAGACATCTACATCAATCCTCGATTACGAATAAAAATGCAGATGCGTCGTCACCCATGAGGACCAAAATGGAATGCCTCGTTTCCAGTAAAAAGGGTCTCCGGTTCTCTACACTCACCATACGAAACACAGCAGCATTAAGCTACTATTTTACGCTGGTATTCTGTGAGAGCGTGGTGCTTCCCTGGTCGAGCCGATCCATTTGTGCTATAACTATACTATTAATATAACTGCAGCAAGGCTCTACCGCGTATAATGCCTGTTAGATTGCCTCATAGGTGAGGACTTGCCATAGTTGTCATGCTTGACAACCGCAGTTTTTATTATTTTGAGTTGTCATTAGGAAAATTATGATGCTCATAACCTGTGTTAATTTACTTCTGTTGCCGCTTACGATACCTACGGCACGATATGGGGTTGTGGGTATTCTTACACCGCCACTACACATGACATTTTACAGTACGGTACGGTTATGATTTTCTTTACCAATTATTATACCGAGTGTTTGTGAAACGCCCCCGGAAACAAGGACAGTTATTTGGTTTATTTAACCTGTGAATTCGAATTAAAGTTGTTACGAGTATAGACATCACAGTGACGAAATAGTAGGTAAGTAGTTAAGTTAGGTACTTTTTTACGTTACGTTAGGTACAGGTTAGACAAGTGTTGTAAATTATTAGGTATTGGTACAATCGCTAGTTGTGGGCCGCGCAAATTCGGAGTTCGCACGAATATTGACTATTGTCAGCTGATTTTATTGTTAGTTCCACTGCTGGTTTTATGTTTAAGTATTTTCATGATGATTTTTTTAATGAAATTATCGTTTCATTTAGCTGTACTTACATGATGAAGCTTCAATAAAGCTAATAAAACGTCGTGAAAGATGATTTTTTTCCATCGGGATCGATTTTCTTTCTGACCCATCATCTGTCCTCGTTGCCGAGAGCGTTTCACAAACACACGGTATAAATAATTTGAAATTATCATTTTAAATACTAGAAGTGTAAACAACTATAGAGGTAGTGGATTCTCTTCCGCCGCCGCTATAAGGCGACATGGAATATGGAAGCGTTCGCTGAAGTGCATTTTGTCGGCAGGACATAATAGAGCTAGAGAAGTGGTTCTGGTCGCTGCGCAACAAATCTGTCAGCGGGCAGCTGGACGCGGAGAGCCTGGCGCCTTTGTTGTCGCCGCCATTACCGCGCGCCGCCGTGGCGGGCGTGCTGCGCGCGCTCGACGAGAACCGCGACGGCCACGTCGACTTCAAGGAGCTGTGCTGCGGGCTCAGTGCGGCCGGCCGCGGCCCGCGCGCCGAGCGTCTCAAATGTGAGTACACCCTTATACTGCGAAGAGCTGTGCTGCGGGCTCACTGCGGCCGAGCGCCTCAAGTGTAAGTCCACCCTTACACTGCAGGGAGCTGTACTGCCTAAGACTTCTTTGTATACTACGAGACCGACAACTCAGAACAAAAACTGTGTCACAGCTGTGGATCTTGTGCATGTAGCAGGCGCGGTAAATATGCCACGCAGTTGTGTTTTCATTTACGACAGTTACTGCTCCTAGGCAATAACGAAATAATGTTTCATACTTATCTGAAAAAAATACTTCCAATCACGTTGACAAAGCGCGCACAACATCGTTCTCTTAGTGACATCAGCGTTTGATCGTCGAAAACGGCGTTCAAAGTAAACAAGCCAAAGAACTAGTCTTGTCGCCCGCTCGCAGTCGACTAAGAGCGTTACGGAGAATTGACCGTAACTTTTTTTTTTATAGAAGAGGGGGCAAACGAGCATATATATGGTTCACCTGATGTTAAGTGACTACTGCCGCCCATGAACATCCGCAACATCAGAGGAATAGCAGGTGCGTTGCCGGCCCTTTAGAAAGAAGTAAGCTCTTTTATTGAAGGTTCCCAATTGGAGGTCGTACGCGGAAGAAAACTCCTTGTGAAACGTACAGTGGTGGACCGCCAAGCATCCAGATAGTGTGGATGGTATCGGAAGGTTTGCCGCGTAGTGCGTTCATGAAATTTGGCGGCTGGGATTAATCTGAACAATTCCTCAGAGCACTCCCCGTGATTGATGCGATAAAATACGCAAAGAGATCTCTTCTCAGCGCCAGTGAATCGAGCCGATCGGAAAGCATTCGGTCGTCGACGATTCAAACCGCTATGCGCTGGATGCGGTCAAGTGGAAGGAGCTAGCACTGGGGAGCCCCAGCCCAGAGATGGAAACAGTATTCCACGTACGGCTGAACCTACACCTTGTAAAGTTGCAGGCGGTGTGCCGGCATGAAATACTGTCCCGCTCTGCTGAGCACGCCAAGCTTTTTAGAGGTCAATTTGGCCTTATCTTCCAAGTGACAACGAAACTACACATCACTCGATATGTCGACGCTGAAGATTCCGATACTGGCTGAGGCAACAAAGGGAGTGCCTTGAAACTGAGGAGATACGACAAACGGGTTTTTTTTAGCGGTTAACGCGCAAACTTGTGTCTTCTGCGGGTTAAATTGGGCTAGATTTAGTCGCCTCCAATCCGAGACTTTGTTTAGCAAAGACTCAAATTCAGACAAAGTACTCGGAGACGTTTTCCTGAGAAATATTGGCACGGCCAATCCAACCAGGCCATCGGTGCTGTCATCTACATAGCAATGAATGTTGCTGGTTTGCAACATATTATTGATGTGAAGAAGAAACAGCGTTGGTGATAGCACGCTGCCTTGTGGAACACCAGCATTAATAGGCTTGTAATAGGAGCTAGCACCGTCTACAACGACCTTGATGCTCCGATCTGCAAGAAAGCTGGTGATCCAATTGCACAATTTCTCGAGAAGCCCATAGGAAGAGAGCTTCGAAAGAAGCGCTTTGTGCCAAACCCGATCGAAGGCCTTCGCAATGTCCAAACTAACGGCTAATGCCTCCCTCTTGGACTCTACTGCCGCCGCCCATCTATAAGTCAGGTAGACAAGAAGATCACCAGCTGATCGACCACGACGAAAACCGTATTGGCGATCACTAATCAACTGGTGATCCTCAAGGTACCTCATGAGCTGGCAGTTTACAATGGACTCCATTGTTTTCGAGAACAAGGAAGCATGGACGGGTCTGAGCGGTCGCCTTTTTTATTGATAGGGTGGACGAAAACCGCCTTCCATGATTTTGGGAATACGCCTCCCAAGGCGTACTCCCTAGTAGGAGTACTGGAAAAGACGCGTTAAGACCAGTGCCAACTCTGGATCACACGTCCTCAGCACAATTGGAGGGATACCGTCAGGCCCACTCGACTTGCGGATGTCCAGGGAGAGGAGTGCTTTGCGAACCGAGCACTGTGTGAACCGCATCTCCAGAATAGAGCACTCACACTGCAGGTTGGTCGGCGGCATACTCCCCCCGTCATTGAGAGTCGAGTTGGACGCAAAGAAAGAGCCTAGCAGTTCGGCTTTCTCCTTTGCGGCATGGGCTAGTGAGTCGTCCTCCCTGTGCAGAGATGGAAGAGATGGCTGACAGAAATTTCCTTGGACAGCCTTGGCGAGAGACCAGAATGCACGGGTTTCAGAAGGAAGGCGAACTAGTTTCTCGCCAATTCTGCCTATGTGCTCTGACTTAATGTATTGTGTACTAAGGCCACAGAACCCGTCTATTATGTATGCATAGAAATCTTAGTAAAATATCTACACTTGTGACCGAGAGCAGCGGCAACATCACATCATCATGCAGTAATGGATGACAAATGAAACATTCCAAAATGTATGAAGCCTGGGTCAGGTCCTTGTACACTATACTCAAAAATAGCGAAGCATATTTTAAACGGTACTCAACTGCCCAATTATTTTATGATGGCCTTGTTGTAAAGCACAGGAAATTACACTTGAAATTGCAAAACACAACAAAAACCCGTCATGGCGGAAGCTGTCATTTTTATTGATTAGTGTCGTTTGACATGTTTATTTCACGTATTTTTGACTCTGTTGTGACAACTGACAGTTCTCTTTCTATGATCAATGGTCGCTTTGTGGTTTACTGTTATTGTCTATAAGCACAGAGTTACTAAATCTGTGAGACGCCATGTTGAAAGTCGATAAAATTAATTGATAAACATCAATTGTTTACGACGAAAGGATACATTTAAATAAATTATCTGTATTTTTCCCGAGTTCTACAGATTTTCTCTATTTTTTGAGGTAGTGTAAATAGACCTGGCCCATTTTACAACTTCTCCTTTATAACTCCATCATGAACGGATCTGAACTGACGGGGGAGGATCGAGCAATGCAGGTATGTTTTCTATGATGAGTTGAGAAATCCTATTTTTCTTTTTTCTGGTAACGTAACATTTTATTTGGCTCCTTTGGGATAACAACGGATCTGCTTTATTACTTCTTTAGGCTAGGCTGAAACTTCTTTAGGCGCGTTCTTTCTGAACAGCAAACGAAAGTAAACCGTCGCGCTTGGGTCGGTGATGCTATTGTTTCATCATAATTCCGGTGACGTTTGTTTCATCATAATTCCAAATATTATTGCCAGTAATATTTGGAATTATGATGAAACAAACGTCACGGATGATCCCGGCAATAAAGAAGTGATTATAAAAGAGACATCAAGTACCCGGAACTTCTACGAAATTCACCAAAATCCAGTATGTTTTGTGGAAGCGCTGAAGGCGAATTATTTCCGCCATTCGTGGTTTACAAGTCTAGTTGTCTATGGAAAACATAGACGGAAGGTGGGCCTAAAGGGAAATAAAGTCATCATAGGAGATCGATGATCGCGATCTCCATGTTAGTAATCAATGTAAGGAAAATAACATCACATTTCTTTGTTTACCACCAAACAGTAACCATTTAACACAGCCGCTAGATGTGGTGTTCTTCCGCCCACTGAAAGTTGCTTGGAGGTCCATTCTGTCCGACTGGCATTTTCCTTCAAATGTTAAAACGTTTAGTAGATGCAATAGCCCTGAACAGTGCTAATAACCTCAAAGCTGGATTTACAAAATGCGGTATCTATCCTTTAGATGCTAAACATCTCCTAGATAGACTACCTCATGCAATTAACACTGAGGCAGAAGCAATTAATGATTCTTTTGTACAAAGCCTGGAAACAAAAAGAAACGCATGGACTCAGGGTGTTGCAACCAACAGAGGCAGAAAAAAGCAAAAGTTTCGCCGGCAACTGGTGAAATAGAATGCGTCGCTAGTTCGTCCTCTGCATTATTAATGGTGATAGCAGCGAAAGTCATGATTAAATGTGTCTAAGAGATTCCTGTGAAGGGCCACTAAGTGACGTTGAAAAAGAAGACCCCAACATTTTAAATTCTATAGATTCAGAGAATACGTTACAGTCCTTGGTAAAAAGGATGGTCAATATATCATTTTTAAATACGGAGGTGAGCTGTTTCCCGGCGTGATTACAAAAATTAATAAAAATGGGGCTGTTATATCATCAATGAAGCGTTCTTTGAAGAACTGGAAGTGGCCTCTTCCTAAAGACGAATTATACTATACATGGAATGATGTACTTGGCAGCATAAACACACGAAAAAAATTGGACGCAGAGACTTTTATTCCGTGCCAGAACTGAACCAACTATGGGCCACCTAAGTTTATAGATTTTGAAAATTTATAATTTTTTTCATCTTATAAATGATTGTTTTATTGATAGTTTGTGTAAGTGCAAAACAATATTCTTTATTTTTATATATTTACGAAACGTAGTTAATCACTCTAATAATTAAGAAAAAATGATTTAATGGCAAATCAAAATGTGATTTTTAAATTGATCTCTCATAAATAGAGGTGATTTTATAACAAAGGCAAAGTAAAAATGACTAAATAAGTCTATTTTCCACTAAAAAATAAATGACAAACTTCTGAAGAGAAATTACGGTGCAAAGTTACCCCTGCATAAGAACTATTTTGCTCCAAAAAAAATTAAGAATAAATAAAAAAAGTTGGTCACTAAATACAATAAAGTGTTTAATGTCAGGTAATGTTAATAGAACTATTATACACACTATACATCACATTACTAATTTAAGCAAGATTTAAAAGGAAGTGGAATAAAAAAAAGTTGGCGCACATTTTGGTGCAAAGGAAAATTCGACAAATTATATGAAATTACCGTAACCTGGTCCAGGTTACGGTGATTTCATATAATTTGTCGAATCACAAGGTAATCTTTTTCAAAAAGGTCCGGTCTACGAGGGGGCTGTAGCCTGTAATTTGATAATCCGACACCGCCTTGCAAAACGTTTGTCGGATTACCGCGGGTCAACTGTACTCATATACTAATTATATTATAAAGCAAAAACAATGGAAAATCAGAA